TTGTACAGGAATAGTGGTGGGACTTTATCATATTGTTTCGACAGGGCCGGGCGGAGCCGGGTAAGCCAGCTAGTTTTTCATAAGGCTAAATTGAATTTTAAAAAATTTGAAAAATTATTCCAATTTTTCACAAGTATGAATAGTCATTTGCAAAGTTTTATAAATCATATGAGTAACTCAAAATTTCCAACCCATTCTCGGAGGGAGAGCGCCCCCCCCCCCCCACTCGGTACGGCACTGTACGAAACTTGGATTTTTGCTGGGATGGTTGGAAAATGTTGGAATGACAGCAATATTCCACCTGCCCTAAAAGAGATGTTCGAGGACTGCTACTGGAAAAGTGGAGAAAGGTATAGGCCAAAGGGGCTTAGTAATTGAAACCGAGTGAGAACGTTGTACTACCAGATTGCACCAAGCTGGTCCTTTGTGGCAGAAACTCTGCCATAAAGAACCATTTCACACCTAAATACCTAGAGCAGGGATTTACTCTGATAAGCTTCATTTTGAATGCCATGATAGAACACAACCCTCACTTTGAAAAAGTAGTTCGGACGAAGTCCCGGATGTCATGATCATAAATTGGAATAAGTGTGAATAAAGCAAGTATAGGAAAAGACATCTTTAGATTACCCCACAAAACTGAGAACTTGCGTTTTCAAAGGCTTTTTAACGCCAAAAGAAGGTTTTTGTGAAATTTTCCAAAACTCAGGACAACATTTTTCGACCTCTTCTTAGACTAGAATTGGTATTCACAAGCTCACGAAAGCTGTTGGAGCTTAATAAAACGCAAAAGTGCGCTTCAATGTTGTGCAGAGATTCACGCACTAAAATGCCGGTTCATCTCGTTAAAGAGCGGTTTCAATGCCTGGGAACGTTGTCAGTGCTTCTAGTCGTGTCATGACTATCAGAACGATATATAATGTTGCAGGGCTGGTGAAGACCCCGCGAAGATCTGCGACCAGAGCCAAATGCCCCATTGGCTCTGTTCTTCATCCTCTGCTCGTCTGCGTCTCTGCGCGTTGCGCGATTCCTCGCTACCCCAAACGCGAGGCGCGGGGCATTCGGCTCTGGTACCCTTTTTTTCGTTGTTCTTAACCTAATCTTAGCAAACCGTGTATCATATTGCAGCTCTTGTTTTTTTTTCATGCTAACAGCGTCCCAAAATCCCATTTTCGATTTGCACGAGAAATGTAACAAAACCGCGTTTTCGAAAACTTCTTGTTATTCTCTAATTTAAGTCTTTTTATGCGGTTTTTATCGCATTCAATAGATCTGCTTCCGTCCATAATGTAGACACAACGTCCCAAAGTTTACTTCTTCGAATATTGGATTTTTTTGTGAAAGATCGTAAAAGTTCGTTCTTCTTTACTTTTTCTCCTTCAGTTGCAGCGAATTTCTTCCTACTCGGGCGGTTATTACAACGCAAAAATTCAGACAACGTTTCAGGAAATAGGAACGACAATGCGTAAAAATTCGAAGGAGGCTTCAAAAACTACATTTGCTTCGACGTGCATTTCGACTTAGTAATAACAAAACTTTGTGTGTTCATACTAGTTGTTTGCTTGTTCATCTTCTCCCTAATAATCAACACTATCGAAACAAAGTTGTTTTTGAAATAATCGTAATTTGGAATTGAGCTCCTCGTTCTCGCATAAATTTCAAAATTTTTCCGAACTGATGATGCAGCTGCTTCATAGGTGTGACCAAACTTTACCAGATAAGGCTATCGTTCCAGGCTGTAGCATTCAGTCTACTTCGCTTCCGCGCCTGATTCATACCCATTGTTCAAAAGCTCTACGTTTTAAAAATTTGCTGCTTCTAACCTTTGACGATTTGATTGATTCTGTTTTTATAGAAGTCATGCGCTCTGTAGTAGCTCATTTGCGATTTTTTACCAATAGCAGGTGGAGTCAAGCGCGTGCGAAGAAGAAGATAGTTACTTGAGCCCTGGTATTGCTGTATGACCTGTCCTCACAGATGGTAAAATTTTTTGCTGATCAGATGCTTTTAGACACATGTATTTAAAAATGGCAAATGTTTACCACAAGAAGCTCAAGTCTTCCTTTAGCAAGAAGATTTGTTACTTTTGTAACAACCTTATACTAGCTTTTGCCTTGGAACCAATTTTCTTCATCGATATGTTCGCAGAAGCTTTAATTTACTTTAATAAGCACTAGTTGTCAAACGCGGCTCCGCCCGGCCTTGTCAATAATATACTTGTAATCAGCATGCTCGATTACCCCCGATGTGCCGACTCCGAGCCCCGTAGCTCGAATTTTGCAAAAAAAATCAATATCGATCAATAACGAAAAGTAGCCTATGGCACCGCCTGGCCCCAAAGTGTATGTGTGCAAAGTTTGGACCGGATCGGTTCAGAAACAAAAGTTTCTATTCGGAACATACGTACATACAGAGAGACAGACAGACATACAAACAGACATTCGGCTTTATATATAAGACTAAGTCTGACTTATGGATGAAAAGTGTTTTTATGCACAAGATATGTGTAGAAGGTTTAGCCCTAGAAAATTAACTCAAGATCGGAGCGAAAAATGAGCTTCTTGGTGTCTAAATGTTTGACGGACTTCCCTTATTTCATTCTTGATGCTGCTTTATTTTACTCCTCTTCTTGAACTTTCGATCTATTAAACATGGATCTTCAACATGTATAGTGCTTAAGTTTTGAATAAATCGTTGAACATCATTCACGATTCCCTTTGTGCAGGGTGCGTCGAAAATCTGGGAGCCAAACTGACCATGTTATAAATTGCAGAACCACTCATGATTTTGATTCCAGTTTTGTGTCACATAACGCTGCAATCATCTTCTTCAAATCACAATTCACCTAGCTGGAATTGCTTGCCATACGCTCTTGTAATAATTGGAATTATTAAACAAGTGCTTATGCGGAGCAAGAAAATCAAAATTTCAGCACCAACATTTTATCTTGTAGCTGGAGATACTTTGAATATTCTACAATCCTTTGATGCACACGTTGTAAATGAGGCTTTGCGCTATCATATCTTAGTATTCGCTTTTGCCAAAACTTGTTCTTTCAAAAACAAAAATAAAGGTTTGCGAATGTTACCTGCGTGCCATTGGTCATCTTTTTTCAAAACAAAGTTGAAACCTATAGAAGTGCAGAAGGCAATGAGTCCTAGGCTAAATTTCTTTCTACGAGTGTTATATATAAGCATCCAGTTGAAGTCCTTCAATGGAGCAATTATGATACTTCCTACGTTATGATTTTCTGCTTTCCTTCGCGCGAATCCGAATTTACTGCATGCGAATACATTTGCTTCACTTAAAACTCCAAAATTCTTTTTTTCTAGATAATGCAAAAAATTTTCTTGGAAATATGTTGTAGACAAAAGCTTGCTCTATCCTGCTGCACATTTGCTTAGTGGAAGAAGCAGTTATCGTGAAGGCCTTGAATAAATCTTATTGGGACTACCTGCGTGCCACGACAGGTGGACTCTCTACGATTTTGAAGGGCTGTTAGAAGCCAAAAGAGGCAGTCTCAAAACTTAAGAGCTGAGCTATATTTGTAAAGGTTCGAATCATACGTGCACCAAACTTTTTGTTTCTAGCTAGTTTCCTTCTGATTTTATCTGAAAAAGTACTAGGCTCCCAGACTTTTGACGCACTCTGTAAACTGCACATGGTAGCGCGATACTCCATACCCGCCCCCCCCCCCGGTACAGCCTGTGGCCTCCCTTATCATAAATATGACAATTCATCACTTTGAAGTTGACGACGTCATCACCAGATTATAATTCGGTGTAAACAACTTCGGTTGCGGCTCTTTTTGTGTGGATACAAGAATGCTAGCTTCTATTGGGCCGTAGCTGACCATATAGCCCGAAGTTCGCTCCACTCATAGCATTATTTTGGAGGTCGGAAAATTGTGTTTCCATATACGGGATAACCGATATAAGCTACTAGGACATAAGTGCTAGAAACATCGGATAAACTGCATGCGCAGTCTTTTTAACCCGGTGTCGGCGAACCATATTACGTGGAGTTGCGTGTCCGTATCGCTGGAGGTTTTCCGAGCGAGAGGGGAGGAGGGGGGGGGGGGGGAGGGGCAGCGGCACTGAGGCACAATCTAGCAAACCATTTTTCTAAATTCTTTTATTAACCACTGCGAACACTTTAAAGTCGAAAATTTCTCAGATATGGTAAAAAATTTTGAGATTTTGCAGTCTCAACGAGAATTCGCTTCTTGAAGGGGTAGTTCACTTATTGCTGTGCATTGGTCTTTATCTCAAAACTGCTGTGTAGATATGAGGTATACTATCGTACCTTAACATAGTTTGTTATTGCAGAAATTTGTTAGTACAGAATGATATGTGCTTCTACTGTGTGCAACCGATAAGACTCAAATATATTATATATATCGCTTTGTACATTTTCAAGCAACCATCTGTTTCTTTTGCGTTGCGGAAGCTCTTTTCCGTTCCGACTTATGTGGATGGGCAATGAACAAACATTGTTCCTCCTTCTCGATCTAGGTTAGTCCAACAGTAGTTTCGTAGTCCATACTTCGCAAATTTGTAACTATGGATCACCATGTGATGATTCTAGGTGAGAACTCGCTTACTGTAACTTTGTCTAAATTTTGTTGTCATTGTGAGACATCCAGTAGCTCAAAACCTTTGTGCTGTTAGATAATCATAAGCACGATTCGGAGAGGCTTCAAAGGAAAAACAGTCATCAAACCATTCCTTCTGTCTTCTAGACAAATGAATTGCTATAAATAGGGTAGCGATGGTCTTAAGCCAAGAATTCTGAGCTGCTTTTGGAGAAAAGCATAGCCAGCATCTTAGGGCATTTTCGTAGAGAAATTGAACCATGTTTGCAATTTTAAGATGTACCGAGTGTCGCTTTTTTCGTACAAAATCGGAGAAACTTAGTCCTTTTTTTTAATCTTCGAACGTTAACAGTTATATCCATTACAGGTCACTGTCCACGCCGTAATCTGCTGAACAGGAAAGAATATGAATAATCTTGCAACAGAGACTGCCACATTGAGGTAAAACACCTGTACTAAGAAGTAATTCCTCCTTCTGATTTCTCCAAACCAAAGTATTTTCATTTTGACATGTATTCGATAATGTTTCCATAGTTTTCCGATTCCAAAAGCGAAAATTGCCGAGGTCGCGTATCTCATATCAGGAAGCAGAACCACGGAGCGTGTAAGCTCAAAATCTCAGTAAACTGAATTTAGATTTTTGAGGTTTGTAGTATGCGTTCTTGTTATATTTAGTGTACACTTGATAGGATATCTTACTAGAAAATCGCTTTCTTATCGTTCTTGGACTGCGGAGGATTTTCTGTTCATGATACCGCAGAACTATCATTGTTTCCTAGATCTAGGAAAGGAACTACTAAGGCAAATTATTTAGTGTCTTCGCTAGGTTCTTTAGAGGCTCACAATACTTTTTTCGTAAGATTTCGTAAGAGATACTTTTCAAAGTTTTGGTACGAAGGGGTGAAGATTACAAAGGGAATTGTGCAAAGACGGCTTCTTTCAAAGTTTGTCATTTTAAGTAGTGAATAGTTAATATCATCAAATAAGCAATTTTGAACAATATCAAATAAATATTTCAAAAATGTAAATCATTGTTTGATTGCTATTAGGCTGGAAAGAAAGTTCTCGGACATTTTCACACTAGATCTGCTAATTCTCGAAACCTAATACATGCACATCCAATAGGGGTACCATTCGATAGAGCAAAGCAAGCTCCACAAGATGGCATGCAAAAGCTCCACCTGCTTCGACTTACCGTAAGTTTGCATCTAGAATCTTAGTCGCACTGAAGGCACGAAAAATTGGGAAAAATTCATATCTTCTTTCAAAAAATCCTCGGATCTCCAAATTGCTCATGAGAATTGCACAATACATTATACACTCAAATGTGATTTAGAAATCGAGAAACTAAAAATTTTCATGTTCACACAAAAACAAAGCTACGCTGTTCCTAACTGTGTAATCGTACAGGGTGTCTCAAACAAAAGGGCACACTGTTTCATCGTTAATAACCGCTTGCTTCGACGTCTCTCACCGATCTTTAGGTAACATTCTGTAGAGCGAGGTTCAACTTAGATTTACAGTATGAAGCGAAACTCCAATCTCTTTTCGCTTCTGTATTATTACGGTATGAAATTTTAGCATATAGCTCCATTGTGAAATAGGACGTTCAATAAAAAAATCTAAAAAATTCTGAAAATTTGTATAGCAAGGTTTTTAAGCATGCTGATCTCATTATGCAACTTTTTACGAAAATTCTGAGCCTTTTCAGGGCTGTAATTACATTTTCAAGGACTGAAAGGGCGGTTGTTACTGTTTTCCTGAAACGACTTATGATGGAAGCATGACCGTGGTGTGCAAATGCCATATCTGTAATTAGCGACTTTAATTAGCCTAGTATTAAAGCTCCTGGCTTCTTTGGTTTCCTTTTCGGGGCGAAATGCGACTCTTTGGCTTAAAACCTCCTCCAAAGTTCCTACCGTAATCCTACAGTAACGAAGGGAGGTCTGAGTTTCGCTTCATGCTGTAAATCTAACTTGAACCTTGGTTTATAAAACGGTTACTGAAGATCGGGAAAGACGTCGAAGCAAGCGAGTTACTAACGATCAAAGAGTGTGCACATTTTTTTGGGACACCCTGTATAGTACGAGCCTTAGTAGTATAACTGTGAATTTTCAGCTTTTCACAGGCCCTCGTTTCCAAAAATTACCATATTGAGCTTTCCTCTAAAACCAAGATTTTTCAAAAACTAAGGCTTGCGGAATGCTATTCACGGTTATACTTCTTCCAAGGGCTCATACTATACAATTACGTGGTTAAAAGCACACAGCTTCGTTTTTATATAAACTCGAACTTCCTTTTCCTCATTTTTAAATGGGAAAAAATCACAGCAACGCTACATACGAGTGTATGATGTAATGTGCAATTCTCGTTAGCAGTTTGGAGATCCGCAGGATTTTTTTTTGAAAGAAAATATAATTTTTTCTCAATTTCTCGAGCCTTCAGTGCGACTAAGGTTCTAGATGTAGACGATGAGTGGAGCCTTGCATGCCATCTTGTAGAGCTTGCTTTGCTCTATCGAATAATATCCCTATCGGATGTGCATGTATTAGGTTTCGAGAATTAGCAGATCTAGTCTGAAAAAGTTCGAGAACTTTCTTACCAACCTAATAACATATTCGGGAATGGACGAGAGACGCCGCACACCTTTCCATTTGATTGCATCTCTGACTTATCAACGAATTTTCTTGCCCTTTTTCAGCTAGGACTGCGCAAGAACACCACTTCCGAGCTTTCAACAGCTAAACTTTCTTGTTTCAGAGATGAACGAGATATCAACTACGTTTCCTTTTACAGACATCAGAACAGCTCATCTCGTTACTACGCAGCAATGGTGCACCTTTCGAGTCGCCTTCGAAAAACAGGAGATACCTGGCTTCGCTCGGTCCCTATCAACTACCATTTCCTTCCACACGATTTTCCGGTCCCTGTCCCACTTCTATATGCCAAATCCATGCCCCGTGTATCGCCTTCAGCAGCTCACTTGACCGCCCGTGCCAACTTTCACCCTTAGCTTAGAGTTTGCATACAATTTGATAAAAGTAGTGGATATTTTTGTAAACGGTTATCAGATTTGTAACCAGTATGTTCATCCCTTCCCCCCCCCCCCCTGCGCGAACGCAGTCCCTTGGCTTGAATTTTGCAAAAGTATCATATATCCACTAAAAGTAACGGGGATTGTCACAAGCGGTTTTTACAATTTTCTATTTGGGAAATACGTACAGAAAACATACAATATATGCAGACAGATAATTTGAAATTAGATAATTTCAACAGTTCTGAAAATCTGATAAAACCTGAATTTTCTGAAAATCCTTTCGTCCTCCTATGATGAATGTTGCCTGCAATACGAGTTATTGAAAATATCTGGACAAGACTGCAATTGCATTGCAAGCGAGTTCAGACATAACATTTTACAGCGCTGAGTGTGACTGTCTTGGCGAATACAAATTACTGGTGTTTGTATTCGCACCAGTACTGGTATTATTTATGATTATCTGTGCAGAAACAGTGCGCATGCACTACAGTTTCCGGAGGTAGGGTTCTAATTTTATTTTTTAACTTTTTGATGATATAAAATTACCTATGTAGGCAAACAGAAAAGATGTTGGTGCAGGCTCACGAAAACCTGGAGTGGGCTTACGAGAAGCTGGAGCGGGCTCACGAGAAGCTGGAGTGGGCTCATCGACGTATGGTTGACATAGACGGAAACCGAACAAGAATTTCCCCACCCCTGCAAGGTTTGAAGTTATAGGGATTAGGAATTCAAATCAAATTCAAATCACGCATATGCAGCCAATTATGACCATCACTTTGCCAATGTACGGCTACACCAGTATAGCAGGCAGTTTTTCAAAAATTTTCTCGAAGCGTTGAAAAGAAATTGATCCTGTTTACGATTTCCACTGCTAACGTATCCAAATAAGAAAAAAGTCTGTGATTTGCATTGTTTTGCTTCATCCAGATGCTAGAAAATGAGACCAGAATGAGTGCGAGACATTATCGTTTGATCTAACGTAGGCTGTTCCACGGGGGGAGGGGAAAAGGAATATCCACAATAATTTGTTCTCGTTTTTGCAATGCTGAAGGGAAATCGAAGTCATTCGCACAGCCCTAAGATTAGCACACGAGTCCGTTTTTTTTTTTCAGCAAAGTTTATGACAGATACCCTCTGATCCAACAGGATTGGCGGCCGGAGGGTGGAGCACGTCATCGCGGCCGCCTCACCTGACTCTGCACCTCCTTCGCGATCGTCATCTCTATGATTGAAACCCCGTCTTTCCCACGTTTTTGATGGGAGAGTAATTAGAGAACACGCCACGGAAGAGGTGCAGAGCCCACTCAGGCTGTCGGTGCCATAGTCGCGGCGGACAGTCGAAATCTGGTTGAGCCGCGGCGGACCCAATTGACCAATGAGAGCGGGGCGATGGGGCGGTTCCTTCTTGTAGGTCACGGTGATCACAAGCAGGCGAATGGGACCCCTCTCCGGGACGCGCAAATCTCTGCTTCGGAGGTACGCCAGATTTGGGACACCTCCGGAGCACAAAATGGGAGGGCTCCGGAGCACAAAATAGGAGGTCTCCGGAGCACAAAATGGGAGGACTCCGGAGCATAAATGGAAGGTCTTCCGGAGCACAAATGGGAGGGCTCCGGAGCACGAGTGGCAATCCCCACCTGGGGAAACCCCGAGGCTCGGCCATTTCTGCTCCGGAGGTATGCCGTCGACTGTCTGAGCAACCAGCTCCGCCCTCCAGCCGCCAATCCTTTTGAATCAGACGTTCAAGATGTGTTCGAAGCGGTTTATGCGGGACAAGCTAAAAACTCGCTTAATTGCTTTCGGAATAAATAGCCGTTTTTTATCTGATTGCATGAGTTAAAAAACTGTGCGGATGACTTAACTTGACTACAAAGAATAAAACGTACATTTCCAGGAACAAGTCGTATTACGTCTTTCTGCTGAGTTAGTAATTCTTACTTGCAAAAAGCAAAAATGAGCTTTATTGAAGTACGATCCCGCAAAGACTCTGGCGGATGATAAATAACACCCTTCACTTCGAGAGATCGTACAAAAGTAAATTTATTCTGTTTTATTTTCAGAAATGCCGATTTGTTCATATCAAGCCTC